TCCGCAGCGATCAGCATAGAGATCGCTGTTTCTACTGTGGAAACAGGTTTGTAGGATTACAATTCTACAAGCCAGCTCTGCTTTGGTTACCTGTTGAAAATCAGGCTCTGGCTCCTTGGCCGGTGTCAGCATCCACTCAGCTTTAAAATCACTGGTTTGGCACACAGTCTATGCAACTGACCTGTTATTAGCAGCTGTCCTGGGCGCAGTTTGCTGTTTATTATCACATTTCATTTGTCTTTTCATGTAACACAAATTCAGGTGTCCATTTTTGAGATTATATACATTGTAGATGAATTTTCCTTCTTCCACCGCAGAAACTAAATTTAGTTGATTGTAGCGCCAGCATGCAGGAAAAAAAAGGCATGTGTTATGACTTTTTTTCTATTTGCCTAATGTGCAGATAATTGAAGAACCATTATAATGCAAGTAGTAATGTAATTACTGAATTTAGTATAGCAATATGTTACATTACTGCATTATAGAAAGTTGCATCCATAATTAATGTGTGAGCCCAAAGCTCAGGCTCCAGACAACTCAAAACACTACAATTTCAGACATTTTTTTTCTACTATTTAATATATATGATGTCACAGAGAGGATATTCCTAATATGGTCAACTCAGCTAAAACTGTAAGCACAGGAGGGCCATCTAGCTGCTGTTGAAACTTTCTATCTGTGAGTGCCAGCCAATGCGAATAAAGTTGTCTAAATGGGAGGAGCTAAAACAGTTTAGATAAATAGACAGTGAATGAAATGTAGGGCTGCACCAAGGCCCAGTATAGGATAAATAAGGATTATCTGAGCTGTAAATCCTGAAAATCTACTCTACTGGAAGGCAAGAATTGAAAAAATATTTAATTTTTGCCCAAGCTAGTTTGTTCTTCTTAGAACTTCTCGAGTGTTAAATCACTTCAGTTTCTGGTCACTTTTAAAAATATAGTTAATATTAAAGTTAATATTTACAACACAGATTGTGATGAAAATCATGTAGTCATGGTCACAAGGTCCACATTCTTTTTTAGCTTCAGATTCAAAAACATATTGCAAAATATAAGAGGAATGGTCACCCTTGACCTTTCGACCCCTTATCTGTAGTAAAATATTACCTTGCACCTTGTTTTTATTGATATTTCTACTATACCCAAAGCATCTCGTTCTTATCTTCAGCATAAGCCAGATGAAGATAGTACCTTTACCAATGTTACATAAACAGACTTCATATACACTTTGCGCATTCTATTTATTTTAACTCGAAAATTTCTATTAACCCTGCTGAATTGATGCAATAGGATGCAATTGGGTTTTGATCGCCGTGTTGTCATAAACACAGACTGATGCACGTTGCGCATCCTGTCTCTGCGTCCATGCATGCAAAGTCACTGTTTGCACACAAACATGTAGGCGTGTGTCAGACAGAGGTCTACGGTGTCACATGAATAATTCAGCGGTGCGCTGGTTGAACATAGGCCCGGGAGCTATCAGGTTACAGGAAGTAGGTTGGGTGCATCCACAACACAACAGCCAAGGCACAGCCAGAAGCCATTTACTACTGTACTTTGACCATGTGGTCATTTAACATCTATGCATTACCGCTATTGATTGACATAAAAGCCGGACAAATTCAGCTAAACCGTAATTAGCTGGAGACCATGACCCAACATAAGATTGGAGAAAGGCGTTACAAAGAAGCTGAACAGCAGATTAGAGTCTGGAGGGATCAAATTGGAGGAGACAGAGGAAATTACTGTCCCTTGCCGCAGCTGATAATCTGTACCTTCATTTAAAAAGAAAGAAAGAAAAGAAACCTTCATAGTGGTCAGCAAAACACTGACACTGCTACCACTCAATTTCATTCTATAACACAGCTGTTGAAATTCTTGGTGGGAGATGCTGCTGTTGGCACACCGCAGCCTCTTTGACACCTAACAGATTGTTATATTTCAGCGGCTAGTCTGTGAAATTTCTGCCTCAGGGTCTCACTCGCTTGTCAAGGTTCATGGAGGCTGAAGAGTTGGATTTAAACTACTGCTGGCCGTCTTCTGTATTCATACTGTTTGCTTTATGATCTCCAGCTAATACACGCACACACACACCAACATATATATATGGATTCTGGATCTTTCTGGATGTTTTTGAAAATCGAATGCAGAGCTCCAGATTTAGTTTCATCCAAATCTCCCATGAAAACCCTGCTAAGATTAGGCAGAAAGCAGCACTTTAAGCAGGCCTGACAGATGGACTGCCCAATTTACCCATGAGCTGTGAATAAGGGACAACACTCACTAGCCCCACCCCTGCCAACAGTTCGTTTCCCCTTCAATATATGAAGCCCCCAATCTTCCACTCTTCTCTCCACTCCACCAGTTTCTTACCACTTGAGCTCCCATTAAATCCTCTTCCTCTGCCATGAGCATACCGGGACCTCCTCTGCCCGTGTCCAACTGTGCCTCGCATCCAGTTATTCTGCTAATTCCCGCTGTGCTTGCTAATAGAGGTTGGCAGGGAGAAATGCTCACTCCTTTTCCCTCCATTTCTTCATCGACTGCCATCCTCCTGATGCTGGAAATTAGTCTGAGAATTAGAGGGAAAATTGGGTCTCACCTCTCAGGGAACATTTTAAGAGGTGAAAAATGAAAGCTAGCAGCTCACCTTTTTGTCTGCTCGCACCAATTATGAATCTCCCAATCTGCTAACTCCAAAATCTAATTAAAGTATAATAACACATCTGCCATCTCTCTCGCGCTCTCTCTCTTTTCTTCACTCAGTGACTTCTACTGAAAACTATACAGGTACCAGTCAGGTTTTGAGTCCTCAGTGTTGCATAGTGCAAAGGGTCTGAATGCTTTTAATACATATTTTTGTTTTGTGCAAGATAATTCAGACCAAGTGCATAAATACTTAAAGAAAACAGTGAATATAAAGCAGCGACTGTGCCAAAAAATCAGAGGAGTTTCATGTTGTTCTATAAACAGTTTTAAAACAGTAGTTGTGAACAAATGCAGTACTATTTGCTGAGATGCTGCCTCAGCATTTTAATTTAGGAAAAAAAATGAACTACATTTTTGTTGTTGCATTTATTTAAACAAATTGGATACATAGTGTTTTGATTAGTGTATAGACATGACAGTTCTATCAATCTAATTTCTTTCATTAACTTTTGGATTTAAAGTAAATGTCATAGATCTAAAAGATGGGCACAGCCACTATGAGATTACCATTTGGTTTCTGCACTCTCTTTTCAAGGTTCAGTGCATTCCGGGCATTTTTTTGCTTTTTTTTCTTTGAGAAGTGACCATATTTGGATGAGATTAACTATGTGCAACAAGGCAATGATGTTTAACCTTCCAAAATCTTCCTCTTTTTACACACAGCAGAGAAAATCAGTAAATGGTAAATGGCCTGTATTTGTATAGCGCTTTACTAGTCCCTAAGGACCCCAAAGTGCTTTACACATCCAGTCATCGGTGATGGCAAGCTACATTGTAGCCACAGCCACCCTGGGGCGCACTGACGAGGCTGCTGAACACTGGCGCCACCGGGCCCTCTGACCACCACCAGTAGGCAACGGGTAAAGTGTCTTGCCCAAGGACACAACGACCGAGACTGTCGGAGCCGGGGCTCGAACCGGCAACCTTCCGATTCCAAGACGAACTCCCAACTCTTGAGCCACGATCACCACAAAATGTTTTTGCATTTTATTAAAGAAATTTGAAGCAGGTGTAAATGTAAAAATCTTATATAAATCTTATATTTAAAATTGATACATAAGGATATGCATAAAACCATATTACATTAGGGCAGCAACTTTTGAAGTTTGATGTGGATTTTTTGCAACAATATTTGAACAATATTTGAACAGACAAACACAACACTGAGAAATTCTAGCTACAGGTATCAGAACAGCATCCATGTGCCAGGTCATGAGGTCCCCCATTTCCCATCACCGCTTATTTTCATTCAAGAAGAGATTATTGTGGAATGTGTGATAGAAAATGTTAAATATCTATGTCTACTCATTTGAAAATATGAAATTTAATTTAGGTCTTTCTTTAGAGGAAACAAAACATTCGTCTTGACCTGGGTCTTCATGTGCAGAAGTCAAACCAGTGTTTTACAAATGAACCAATATCCTGTTAAGGCCACTATGTTTAACAGCCAGAACTGTGAAGATATGAGTGAAACTATGCTGTTTTTGTTCCACGGTGGAAGTTCATGGTCATGCTTTTCCTTTAATCCTGTCTGTCATGGTTCCACTTATTCATTTCTTTAGTTAAAGAAATGTCATCTTCTCTCATTTATAAGAGAGAATACAGGATGATATAAACACACGCGATACAATCATCTCATGTAGGTGGTATGAGCCCTTAATTGTCCTGTTTTCAGGGATAAAAGGACCTTTCAATATCTGTGTCTGTGACCTCTTAGTAACATCCTTTCACACTGATTTTGTTTTCTATCCTTGAGGAAGGAAGCATGGCCTGAAGGTTTGTGTGCCATTTCATACATTGTAGCATTCATTCATAAACAAATTGGAAGCTCTTAGAAGACCAACAAACTCACTCATTTATGAAAAAGCTTTCAGTTTTCCATTCTGTTTTAATTCATAGACGCTTAGTTAAGCCTTCCTAAATGCATTTTAGTTGTGAGGTTGGAAGAGGGCATCCATGAGCCCTGTTTGGTTCTTTTTTAACAAAGCTAATACCATAGCTCATGACCATGAGCCTCCTGGTGGTGCAAAGAGTTAATCCCGAGAGAGTCTTATTAGTATATTTAACTTCAAGTAGGAGATGTAAGGGGCGAAATGTGTGCAAAAGTGTGTAGTAATCAGTGGGCATTTCAAATACTTCTAGCTGTTTTTTGGGGTTTTTTTGTTTGGGGGTTTTTTGTGTGGTTTATGTGATTTTGTAAAAAAAAAACAAAAAAAACCCTCTCTGCTCGTGTCTTAGATTTTTATTTTGCTGGAAGTGATTGGTGAGGTGATTTTTATCCTCTTGCAGGTCTTCGTCATGGCCTGGGTCAGTTGACCTTCAGCGATGGGACGTGCTACACTGGACAGTTTGAAAATGGCCTCTTCAATGGTTGTGGGGTGCTGGTCTTTCCTGACGGCTCCAGGTTTGTCAGTCACTTTTTGCACACTCTGGTTGTTAAACCTTGAAACTCTGCACCTGAAAATTTAAAACCTGCAAATAAGTATGTCGTACAGAAGATACAACCCCAGCCTCCTCCTGAATGAAACCTGTCTGATTTGTTCCTTCATTACTTCTGTCATGTAAATAATGTACATAATGCTTGTGCTGGTTTTCAGCTTTATTTCCATACGAAATAATCAATGTGAGAAATTTATACAACAGTAGAAGAGTACAACAGTATCTCAACAGTCTAACTTTGGTGGTACATGTGACTGAAAAAGCTTCTGCACAGAGCTGAAAGAAGGATAGATTTTGTTTCTTTCTCTGCTTCTGTTGATTAAAAATATCCAATCATAAAGACATCGAGAACAATGCAGCTAAATGAAGCATGATGAGCACTGCTGTGAGGAAAGGACTGTCACACACAAAAGCTGAGGTGAAAAATCAATGAGAAGATATTCTAGTGCAGACCTACTCTGTACTATGTTACCTCTCCATGGAAATTCTAAGAGGCAACACGAATAACATGACATAGAGGAGCTGGGGTGGCGGCGGGTTGTGTGCGTCAGCAACTGTCTGCAGATATATGTATAATATATATATATATATATATATACATATATATATCTGCAGATATAGGCATCGGTGGGCAAGGGACGAAAACAGGGCGTTGTTGGAATGCTACTACGCAAGTAACCCCGGCGGAAGGGGCTACATGAATAGGATGAGGGACCTATGGATTCTTCGATACCCAACATCCACAATGACGGCGAAACAACTAGTAGCTCAGTGTTCCAACATTCGAAAGAAGGGACTGCTCTCACAGCTAGAGATTGACGAGGTACAACACAAATGCTACGGCAAGGAGGAGTCAGGACGCCAGGTCAGGGGGGAGATATCATCACCCCCACCCGAGATTGGGTACGTAGCCCCAAGTGCGATAGGAGAAGGATCGTTGAGTGCGAGAGGAACTGACCTGAAAAATAGGATCATGGCCAAGCTTGAAACCTGGATCCCCCGTAGCCGGTTACCAAGATTACGTGAAGTACCCTCAGAAGGTCTGCTAGATGATGTTAATGCAGCACTACGGGCAATACCTACCTACAACCACGATTACCGACACTAACAAGCTGATCTACAATACGGCAGCAGTGATCAGTGAGATGCTTGGCTACAAGTTGAACAGCCACAAGGGGCAGTACCCTCCATGGAGAAGGAGGCTAGAGGGCAAGATCAAAGTAGCACGGAGAGAGGTTAGCCAACTAACGGAGTTGCAGAAAGGTGCGACGAATAAGGTGCCTAAGAAATACAGCAAGCTGTCCATACCTGAGGCCTTGGAAACTGCCAAGCAAAGACTCACAGCCTTGGCCAGCCGCTTGAGGAGGTACACCAGAGAGATAGAAGGCAGGAGAATAAACCAGCTGTTCTCCACAGAACCGGCAAAGGTGTACTCTCAGTGGCAAGGGAACAATAAGAGAACAGCACCACCAAGGCTGGAGACGGAGCAATACTGGAAGAGCATATGGGAGAAGGATGCAACCCATAACGGCAATGCTCAGTGGCTAGAGGATCTGAGGGCAGACCACAGCGACCTCCCTGAACAGGGTCCAGTAACCATCACAGTGGCAGATATCCAAGAAAGGGTCTCCAGTATGAAGAGTTGGACAGCACCAGGGCCCGACATGGTTCACGCCTACTGGCTGAAGAAGCTAACTGCACTCCACGAGCGTCTGGCAGCACAAATGAACCAGCTGCTAGTTAACGAGATACACCCGGAATGGCTAACTGAAGGCCGGACGGTCCTGATCCCCAAGGACCCCAAGAAGGGACCGGTCCCCTCCAACTACCGACCAATAACCTGCCTCAGTACTACATGGAAGCTCCTGTCAGGCATCATATCGGCTAAGATGAACAGGCACATGGGTCAATACATGAGCGGGACACAGAAAGGAATTGGCAAGAATACCAGAGGCGCAAAACACCAGCTACTGGTAGACAGAACAATCAGCCGAGACTGCAAGACCAGACTGACCAACCTGTGCACTGCCTGGATTGATTACAAGAAGGCCTATGACTCAATGCCCCACAGCTGGATACTGGAATGCCTAGAATTGTACAAGATCAATGGGACCCTAAGAGCCTTCATCAGGAACTCAATGGGGATGTGGCGTACAACACTAGAGGCCAACTCCAAGCCCATAGCACAAGTCACCATCAAGTGCGGGATCTACCAAGGAGATGCTCTGTCCCCACTGCTGTTCTGCATAGGCCTGAACCCCTCAGTGAGATCATTAACAAGACTGGCTACGGATACCGACTACGGAACGGAGCAGTTGTCAGCCACCTCCTGTACATGGATGACATCAAGCTGTATGCCAAGAGTGAACGAGACATCGATTCACTGATCCACACTACCAGGCTATACAGCAATGACATTGGAATGTCGTTCGGACTGGAGAAGTGTAGTCGGATGGTAACAAAGAGAGGGAAGGTAGTCAGAACTGACGGGATTGAACTACCAGAAGGCAACATTGCAGACATAGAGGACAGTTACAAGTACTTGGGGATCCCGCAGGCGAATGGGAACCATGAAGAGGCCGCTAGAAAAGCTGCAACCACCAAGTACCTGCAGAGGGTCAGGCAAGTCCTGAGGAGTCAGCTGAATGGTAAGAACAAGATCCGGGCCATCAACACGTACGCCCTGCCCGTGATCAGGTACCCTGCTGGGGTAATAGGCTGGCCAAAGGAGGAGATAGAAGCCACTGACATAAAGACAAGAAAGCTCCTTACCATGCATGGAGGGTTTCACCCCAAGTCCAGCACCCTGAGGCTGTACGCTAAGCGGAAGGAAGGGGGCCGGGGACTGGTGAGTGTCAGCACCACAGTCCAGGATGAGACAACGAACATCCAAGAATACATTGGGAAGATGGCCCCAACTGACCGAGTGCTCAGTGAATACCTCAGGCAGCAGAAACCCAAGAAAGAGGAGGGAGACGAGGAACCAGCATGGAAGGACAGGCCCCTGCACGGTATGTACCACCGGCAGATAGAGGAGGTGGCTGATATCCAGAAATCCTACCAGTGGCTGGACAAAGCTGGACTGAAAGACAGCACAGAGGCACTAATCATGGCAGCACAAGAACAAGCTCTGAGCACAAGATCCATAGAGGCTGGGGTCTATCACACCAGGCAAGACCCCAGGTGCAGGCTGTGTAAAGATGCCCCAGAGACAATCCAGCACATAACAGCAGGGTGCAAGATGCTAGCAGGCAAGGCATACATGGAACGCCATAACCAAGTGGCCGGCATAGTGTACAGGAACATCTGTGCGGAGTATAACCTGGAAGTCCCGAGGTCAAAATGGGAGATGCCCCCAAGGGTGGTGGAGAATGACCGAGCTAAGATCCTGTGGGACTTCCAGATACAGACGGACAAAATGGTGGTGGCTAACCAACCGGACATAGTGGTGGTAGACAAACAGAAGAAGACGGCCGTAGTGATCGATGTAGCGGTTCCGAATGACAGCAATATCAGGAAGAAGGAACACGAGAAGCTGGAGAAATACCAAGGGCTCAGAGAAGAGCTCGAGAGGATGTGGAGGGTGAAGGTAACGGTGGTCCCCGTGGTAATCGGAGCACTAGGTGCGGTGACTCCCAAGATAGGCGAGTGGCTCCAGCAGATCCCGGGAACAACATCGGAGATCTCTGTCCAGAAGAGCGCAGTCCTGGGAACAGCTAAGATACTGCGCAGGACCCTCAAGCTCCCAGGCCTCTGGTAGAGGACCCGAGCTTGAAGGATAAACCGCCCGCAGGGGCGTGCTGGGTGTTTTTTTTTGTGTATATACATATATATATATGTTATGTCATGTTATTCGTGTTGCCTCTTAGAATTTCCATGGAGAGGTCCAAATAGAGCAATACTGAATAATATAAATTATTGCAGATTGAATAACAATTCATCTAAAATTAGAGTATGTAAGGAGGTGTTTTTTTATTAATAAGGATCTGTTGACTGTTTGCAAATTATCCTTCACATACCTTTTATCACCAACACAAATTGTAAAATTCAGACACTAAAATTAACGGCAGGAAGGTGGCTGAAGGGGTCAGTCTTTTTTGTGTCCTTACATACAATGAATAAGTCAATGCACAATTTGAATATTTAGTTTCCCAGTCTCGAAAAAAAGAGAAATAAGCAGAGAAAAAAAATACAAAGCAGATTGTAGCACAATGACCTGTGCAGTTGAAAAAGAAAAACCAGAAAGAAAAAAGTTTTTAACCTCAGAATACTTTGAGTGCTTTCATGGCCTCAATATGTTGAGTATTTTATTGTTGGCTGCTTCCTTTTATTTATTCCTCATACATGAATTTTATCTGTATCTCTCTGTTGGCTTTGTCACCCAAGATATTTATAAAAAAAGATGTCAGCCCAATAAAGATTCAGTTAATTCAAGAGAAGGTGAAGTGTTCAAGTAGAGCACGGCATAGGATAAAGAAGCAACGTATTGCCTGTTCAATGCCATCTGTTGTATTTTTGTTTGCACAAAAAACAACTGATTAATCCTTCAAAGTTCTTTGGAAACACTAAAACATGTATTTCAGGCTAAGTGAATAATATTTAAAGGTTACGTGAATAATAAAGAGAACATATATCTTTTCAGTTACTGCCTGTCGAGTTCTGAGAAGCCTTTTAGTTTAGATGAACTTTGTACTCAGCTTGAATTCACAGAAGTTACAATAAGTTTAATTAGAAGCCCAGTGTTGTTTGAAAAAGGAGCAAATCTCCTGTTGCACTGCCGGTGTTTTGCGCACTACGTTGCAATTACTTTAAAGAAACAATGCAGAGGAAAAACGCTCAAGAGACTGTTAGAGACGGATTTCACATGCAGCTTTTTATTGTCATCCCTCTTATCCTGTTGATTTTTTTAACCCTACTTTGCTCTCTTGCAGTTCAGCCTTTTGTTAATTTGTGCCTGTTTGACACTGAAGTAATTGTGTTCATGCTGTGTGTTAAAAAGGCTGACACTCTACACTTAGATTCATGCTAAGCTTATTGTACAGCAGTGACTACAATACGCCATGGATCTGATTCTGGCTCCTTCACTGAAATACTGTCTGGTTTAGTTAAACAGGGTGGGTTAGTAGTAATAGACTATATGTCGTAAAAAGGTTTGCAATCAGTTTTTAAAAAAAGATGAAAAATATCTGACATCTAACATAAAAACTATATTGTTTTCAAGGTTATTAGTTCCCTTTATCGTCCCCCTCCTGTCTACTTACTATTTTGTCTTTTAGTATCTTCCATGTCAAGTCTGTCGTGTCTCCATTTTAGTTTATGTTTTGTCTGTGTCAAGCTCATGTGACTTAATCTCTCAGTGTTTGTGCTTCCTCGTTTCCTTTGATAATCCCGTGTCTCCTGTGCTTCATGTTCAGCATTGCCTTCCCTGTCCTGTTATGCCTGATTTTTCCCTGCTGTGTTTCCCAGCTGTTTCCACTCCCTCATCACCTTTCTGTGTGTATTTCCCAGTTTCTTGTACCTCCTATTGTCATTCCAGGATTAGTTCATGTAATTCGATGTTTTTAGTTTTGTTTTTTTTTCATGTTTAGCTTTTATGGTGGTGGATTATTAGCTCAATAAATGAATCACCTTTTATTAAGATTAATCTGTCTCATTTGGGTCCTCCACATCACACTTCGCATGGTCTGTTTATGAGGCTAAAAAACAAAAAACTTAATTTATTGAGTCCCCGATGCTCCGTGAGTGGTTTGTCGCAAGCTGGGCGACGTATTAGCCAAAGTCCTAGCAGCATTCGCGACTAACGTAAGCTTTGTGTCAATGTGATATTTTAACCTGGAAGTGCCTCAGGGAAAACAAAATTCCTTCTTGCACAATGTGCGTAATACTTTATGTGGGTCGACTGTTCCATCTTGTTACTTTTTTAATACTCAAATTTCCCATCGAGAGGGCAAATGTGCCTTTATCATCTTCCATATTGGTTCATTGGTTCTGGTCACTACCAGATCAACTGCCCATTTGCACATGTGCGAAGGCAACTTTACTTGGACAAACTGCCCGAAATGCGTTGACAGAAACTTTTTGGGGATTCTGAGTCATTCTACACTCCAGATGCGTTAATTGTATTAAAAATTTTAATTGTGCTGACCTTGATGTCGGATTAATTTGCGTTAACGCGTTAATTTCGACAGCACTAATATATATATTTTCACATTTTGGTGGTTGTGTCTGTGTTATGGTATAATTTGTCATTGAAATCAGTTCATTTCTATTTATATAGCGCCAAATGACAACAGCAGCTGCCTCGGGGTGTCGTATATTCAACCATTAATTTTGAAGTCTTTCACATGTCTTCAGATTACATTATGTAGCAACTGCATTTGGCTTGTTCGTGTTAGTTCTATTTCCCATGAGTGTGTAGATTACTGTACATTATTGAATTTACTTCAATCTATAGGGAAAAATAAACTAGCTTTCTTTTTAGCTGTACTTTCTGCTCTTGCTAGCTAGCTGTGTAACAAGGAGATAAACAGAGACAAAAGCAAAAGTCTTGATTTATCTTTGTATTTATTTATTTATTTTTTCATAACAGCAAATGGCAAAGAGAAATGAAGTAACAAGCTGCCTATTGGAAAAAGGTTACTGCATGAATAACTGATTACCTGAAATGTAAAACTAATCCTTTATGTTACATATTATAGTTTTTTATTTTTTAAAAAGTATTTAATGCTGTCTCCTTATCCCTAATCACTTTCCAATGCCTTACGCCCAACACCATCAGGCAATAGTGACAGATCCATATTGCTTCCTACATGATTTTGTTGTGTTCCTTCACATATTTCTTTTCTCTGGAGTTATTTTGGTTGTAATTTCTAATCAAAACATTCTTTTTGCCATAGGAAGAAATGTTGAGATTCCAACATTTGGCTTTTTAAAAACCACAAAAAAAAACCATTTCATATTTTAAATTCTTAAAAGAAACCCTGAAAAACTACATTTTTCCACTGCCTCTATGAACTTTAGATGACACGCTTACGGAAAGCTTTGGTACTTTAGTGCAGCTTTACATTTTAGTCCAAAAGCTTTTTGTGCTTCTGTACCGCTCATAATTTAAATGCTCAAGGACAGAATTAGTGAGTCAATAAAGCTTTTGTATTTTTTGTAAGTTTAAAATCATACTTTTAAAAAAATGTCCTTCTTTACTCACCTACTTGTTCCTTTTCTCTTCTGCAGTCCTGGAATTTGCCCCTGTCTTTCATGTAAATGCATTTTTATGTGAATGTTTTTTAGGTATGAAGGAGAATTTGTGCAGGGGAAGTTTCAAGGTGTCGGCGTCTTCACTCGCTTTGATGGCATGAAGTTTGAGGGCGAATTTAAAAGTGGCTGTGTGGATGGCTATGGTAAGACCTTATATTCTGATACTCACTATTAGATTATTTAGAGATTTTGGATGAGATTGACATTGCTAGCATCTTAGTTTTTGCATACTCTATTACTATTATTGCTGGACTTTAATGTTTATGCTTTTTTTTGATTGTTTAAGTTATTAAATTAAGGTAGTAATTCAGATGTATGTTTTCAACTAACCCTCCAGTCTCAGTGGTTTATCTGTCTGTGGTTCCAACTACTTTAAGTGTTTTTAATTATATTAAACAGTGAAAGGTGCTAATTGTCTGGTCTGAAGCTACCGTGTGTCTGGGCACAGAGTCTCTGTAGGTAATCAACACATTTTTTATTTGAAGGCTGTTGTGTGGAGAGGGCGGATCAGTGTGTCAGTGTGACAAGTGGTGATTTGTTTGTGCTTGTAAAAAAAAGAGATGGAACATAAAGATTCCTCCAGTTTCCTGACAGTTGAAGACCAGAAATCAGAGCTGGTTCGAGCGGTGGTTTAAATGTAATTTTTTGTTGATTGTTATTATCCCGAGTTCCCAACTCTCAGCTGAGGTGATGATGTATTTCAAATGAAGAAATTAACTTAAAATTTAAAAGTTAATGTAAAATTAACTTGAAGTTATTGACATGGTTTCTTATAGCCACATTTAGGACCAGAATTTAGTTGTTGTGAGTCTGAGTAGCAGTTCTATACTGTGTTTGGTGTAAGTAGCACACCAAACATCAGTGTCACATATTTTCCTGTTCCTAACCAGCCTTGAACCAATTCAAAGAGCAAAGGTCATGTGACTGCTCAAACTCCTGGCTACACTGCTGAGTTCTAACAGCTTAACATGATACATCAGATACTTGGGTGGGGTGCTCTGCCACAATACAAAAGGTGTTCAGCTACCCTGAACACCCCCCACCCCCCCAACACTGGCAAAAAAAGGGGTTGAGAATAAAGTTGAGATATTTTGACTACATGATATACATTCAATGGATATGTTATTAGGTACACCTTGCCAATTGGAACCCTTTTTGCCTTCAGAACTCCTTTAATTCTTTGTGTCATCAACAACTGTGCCACATTCAAAGTCACTTTAATCACATTTCTTCCCCATTCTGTCGCTCGGTGTCTGATGCTCAGTGATAGGCTGATTAGATGTTTGCGTTAACGAGAAGCTGAACAGACGTAAGGTTGTATAACAGTTAAATGAACATGCTTACTAAGCAAATGTAAAGACTTTTGAATGAATGAACTACAATACAAATGATATACAAGTTTTCATTTTTTTGTTCAGAATTATTGTGTCGGTGTGATTGTTTTATTTTAGTCAGGCACAAGTAATGTAGGGAAGAACATTTAAAATATGAAGAAGGAGGGAAAGCGGACATTTCTTGTATAAATTCATTTGATGAAGGCTTTTAATACGTTTTCTTTGCTGCTTTAAATTTTGTTAGCAATTTTTTGGTATTGTATCCACTTTCGTTGTTTTTGTCATGTGATCTCCTAAACACTGAGGCAATATTTTAACATGTTGGGAACTAAACTGATTTAATCTCTTGCTTGTTGGATGAAGCCAGTAGTTGGTTAGCTTAGCTTAGCATAAACACTGCTCTCCTGGCCTCGTGCAAAGGTAGCAAAAAACAACTTTCTACCACATTATTTCAAGCCAAAGCTAACACTTTGTTTCTTGTTTGTTACATCTGTACAAAGCTCAAGAGTAAAGATGACAGTCTGTCATTTTAGGGGCTGTTATGTGACAGGCTACAAATAACCTGCTGGACTCCCCAGTAGTTGCCAGGCAACTTGTCCCAAAGATGCGAAAGCAGCCTTCAGAGTCAAAGTCTGTGCTGTGTACATGGACCATCCACCCTTTGAACCCCCTCCTTCTGACTTCTGTGAAGCATAAGAACATGACACACTGCCAGTGAACATTAATCCAGGCAGCAATTACATTTCCTGCTAAAGCAGACAGTTATTTTCAGAGACAGAAAATTCAAAACAGTCCATAAAGGCAGCCAGATCTGACACTTCTGGCCATGTGTCACTTGTTTGATGAAGTGAGTTGTGTCTCGAGTATGGCTGTTAGTCAGTTTCCTCCGTACCTGTTTGCTTTGATAAAATGCATGATGAGAATTTTGTGTGGTGCAGGAGTGCTGGCGTTTGTGGACGGAGGCCCCGGAGGAGGCACCCACGAGGGTCTGTTTGAGACCAGCCAGCTGATGAAGAGAGAGAACAGCCAGGGAGCTGTGCAGCGGGCGCAGGCGGCAGCTGCCAAGGCCCGAGCTCTGGCCATGTGACGTGGACTACATCACCCACAGTGCCCCAGTACCAGAATCATCCTCCCAACACTACCCCCTTGGTTTGAGGTGTTTAATTTTTCCTTTAATTTTATTACTCTTTGGCTCCTTCTCATCCACTTTTTGTTGGACTGGTAAGTTAGTTTTTAGGATTTTATTCTTATACGTCTGTTCTATCTCTCATTCATGTAACATGCAGTATGCGCAGAGAAGAAATGAATGGCTCCCTTAAGTTTTGTCAACACAGCCACTGAATCAGGATCTGCTGAGCCAAACGCAGATTTAATGTTCAGTTCACACACTGGTGCTAAATCTGTTTCAGGGTCAGGTAATCTGACAAAACACAGAAGTGCATGTGGACGTTTTCCAGTAAACACTGATTTGGTGAGTTTTATGTCAAAAGAATATCTGACATGTGAGTTTAAAGTGACCTAAATTTATTTTAAAAAAGAAGACAATATTTATGTTTCAAAGTGAAAGTGCACAAAAAAATAGTGAGACTTTATATTTCTGAATAAATTAACTATTAACAAATGGTAGATAAACAAAAGTAAAACAAATTATTCTGATTTGATTTAATGTTTATTTTTACTGGTGAATTCTCAAGCCTAACAAATATAAAAGTCATAACTGGTTTAAAACCAAAGATTACATTTTTAATTTTTAATCACAGTTTTATTCAAATTTATTGATGTAAAACTTGTGTTAGAGCTGTTTTGTCTTCAAATATTCAGCAGAGCGCTACAGACCATGGCTATAACAAAGGACGTAAATGTGGTAAAAAGTAACTTTATTGCATTACACAGCAGACAACCAACAAACAGGGGACAGGCACATTTTCATTACTAACATAAAAAATACAAACGTATTTGATTTAATAAGAGATTATTCATTTAGGAACAAAAGCAACAGTAGATTCAGTACTCAATTCTAGTCACTTGAATTAGTGTTTCAGCAGCACTGACATGCTTTCACATGGAAATGAAGTCATTCATATACGTTTAGAACAAAATGTCTAAAAACTTTATTTTATAGGTCTCAGATTTTAATGAGCGATTTCAAAGAATTCTGCCATGTGATTCTAATTAGAGTCAAAATACAGACCATGAATAAGTGGAACGCTGTTATTTACTTCATTGCTTGAGACAGTGTAGCAGAAGTCAGCTGACACTGCAAATATATAAACAAAGCTTACAGTTTCAGGTACTGTTTGTATAAATGAAATTTACAATTACAAAGAGAAATGAGTTACTGCTTGAGAACTGTCCACATAGGTCAGCTCTAAGGAAACTTACACAACAATGGATTGCCTGTTTTTAGTCAAATTAAATATAAGGGAAAACTATTCAAAAAGGTGTCAACAGGCTTCATTCTTACTTACCACTAAATCTGAAATAAATCAATGAAAGGAATGTTTATTTTCATATCAGCACTTGTTTTGAACATCAGCTCACCAGATCAGTACTTTCTGGGTTTCCTACCTTCCCTTTAAAATGCGTGTTTTTTTTCTGACCTCTTATTGGTGCTCTAAGGAGAATACAGATTGTTCAGTTTGAGTCAGAGAGATGTCATGAGGGCCTTGGTTAGAGACGATGTGAGCAGCGTTTGGTGGTCCTTTTCACTCAGTGCCGTTACAGCTCAGTCTGATTACAGAACAGCAGGAACATCTTCCTCAGTGCCAAACACACAGTGCCAAGCGGCTGCAGCTGATCCCGAATCAGTGGCTTATTATCAGAGAGGAAGCTGGGAGGGGGGAGGATGGGGATTAATAGTGAGGAGAATGGGAGTGCCAGCATTGTCACAGGCTGCAATAATGAGTACAATTTCTGTTTTGGAGGTGCAATTTGATAATAGCATGCAATTTATGTTTGAAAGCAAGATTTTCCTTCCACCGGCAGTTGAGGAGCTTCCTGCTCTGTCAGGAAAGAAAGGCTTTGTAGGTGAAAGGGAGGGCCATCTGATGAAGGAGAGGCTCAAATGACTTGAAGGGTTTCGTGGGAGAACTATGTGCACCTTTTTCTGCGTGAAATTTGAGCCATTTTCTAAGAAACAGCATTAAGATTATGCCTCTTTTTTTAAATGTCAAAATGTAACCTCAATTTATGTCAAAATCCATGAACCAAAAACATTGTGTATTTTTGCAGTGCAAATCTTCACATAGGCCAAGGTTTTCCAGCAAGGTAAAACATATTGTAATGTGCTCTATGCACTTTTCTTTTTTACTCTTCACAACCCTTAATTATGTCACTTTGGAGTCTCATCTGATGTTTACAGTTTGTGTATCCTACCCCCCCCAAACAAACGAAAAAAGTAAGTAGCACATACTTTATGTGTATCATACCTGCTGGGAATCAGTGGCCATCTATGTAATGAGACTGGTGGTGTAGATGTGCTATATATATATGTGTGTGTGAATGTAGTCGTACTGTTGTGGGTGGGGGTTGGGGTATTCAACGTGTAATGGAGTTAAGTGTCAGTTACGTGAATGTTCCAGTGTGCAATTAATTTGGGATGTGGTTTGGGGGCCGATGTCTTCCCTGCTGACCAGTTTGACAGCGACATCTAAAAGAGCTGAAGTGATGGAGGCATCTTACACCTTTTAATTGGCTTTGGGATCCAAACAGAAACTGTCAAACATATGCGGTTATTAGGGGATGACGTGGGCTGGGTTTCCACTGGAATAATCTTTAGTCTTATTCACTGTATTATTTCAGACAAAAATGTTGTGACTATGTTCATAAAGAATCTTTTAACTTTGTCCTGTATTGTATTTAACTGAATGATCCCATGTTCCTTCACAGTCTTAGAAAACAAAGAGGATAATGAAACCCTTTAAAATGCACCTTAAAACCTCAACTTTAAAAGTTGCCATGTGATATTAACACAGATGACTGTCTCTCAGCATTAGCAAAGTTACGCTTTCTAATGTGGGTATGACTGAAATCATTGGTTCACTGTGATGAGTATTAATTATTAATGAGGGTGCCATCTAAATCCACCCTAAAACAGAATTCACATATTTCAGAAAAAGTCAAACGATCTCTAAGAATGTAGCTTTGAGACAGTTTATGGACTTAAAGAGAGAATTAGGTTACATGCTATCTGCCATAGCTTTTAGAGCTGGTTGGAACATTATAATAATAATGGATACTTTATTGATCCCCATGGGGAAATTACTTGTTTTTCTCTGCATTTGACCCACTGCTTCCACTCAGTGAAGCAGTGGGCAGCCCACTAAGCAGGCGCCCGGGGAGCAGTGTGTAGGGACGGTACCTTGCTCAGGGGTACCTCAGGGTAGCCGTTAAGTGGATTCGAACCGCCGACCTTCCGATCATGGGGCGACCACTTTACCTACTGAGCTATCCCTGCCCCTAAAAGGAGAATGTGAGGTCTTGAATTAAAATTGATAGTCACAGGAACATTGAACTGTTTTCTTTGGGGTTTTTTTTATTTGTTTGATTTAAAAACAAAGCATTTCAACTCTTAATTCTCACTAGATTATCTAAGATCACTAAAATAAATAATAATACGCTAAGAAATAGTTTTACGTTTTGGTGCCATGTCCACATCTGTGCCAAGTATGATGCTAAAGCCAGATTAAGCTAAGTAGCTTAATTGACTTAACATTGTTCAATCTTCTCCTAGGCAGTGGGCAGTGAGTGATTCTTAAGTTCTCATATAATTCTTTATGATTACCCTATAAATTTTATTTAACTGAAAGTGTGATATTTTATAGACAAAGCTATTCTGCTCTTTCATGTTATTCCCCAACTTTGTGCAAAGATACGCTAACACTAGGAAATTAGTCTTACTAATCAAATTTGACTCTTCTTCAGTTTAAAATAGTGATTGAAATAATTCAAACCCTAAAAATAAATATTTTGTGCACACATTCTGTACACAGGAGAGAGGCTAGAAATATGACTTTCTGCACATTTCGGCATCATTTCAAACAAGGTTCTCCTTTTTTTTCTTGCATGTTAGGCTTTTCCGCATTGATTAATCTTAAAATTATTAGGTAGAAACTGAAAACTGACTGCATTTAAAAAACACTGTAACAGGTTAAATGAACAAGAGTCACCTTGAACTGCAGCTGATATATAAGTTGCTTCCAGCTGTTTAAGAAGTCTTTCCTTTAGGCTTGTTTGCAAACACAGCAGCATCAAAGAGCAGCAGGATCCATATCAAAATGTCCAAAGTCACATTTATTCATTTTCTTCAGTTATTTTTGTCAGCAGTGTAAACAGCACATTGTGTCTGATTAGTCCTTACTAGAGACTATTGTGTCTTTAATGGTTAATTCTTTTCCTTCCCCAGCTTCAGCAGCACTTTCTCTTATTAAACCCCAAATTATGATCAATTAAATAAAATAATTACTGAATATTAAAATTAATAGCCTATGATTAACCTTTAATTATAATCTATTAGTAGTTACGTCACATACATCAATCCACCATGAGTCTCACTTCAAGTGGTAGCTATAAATTGGGAGTGCTGTGGTTTATTATATTCTTAAAAGGATCATTCATCAAAATGTAAACATAAAGACAAAGAACAGTTAATTTTTTATGCAAAAGGATGGAATGAAATAAAGTGAATACCGTTTTAGGTGGGATTTCTAACAGTCTGAGGACTCGATGCCTTTTAAATGGGTTATTTTAACAGTGAAATGCCATTTTTGAGGACAGTTTTCTTTCTTTCTTTTTTACTGAGGCTCTCTGACTGTTTCATTTACACCAGGAATCCATTGTTGTTGTTATTCTTGGTGTCTTGAGCTGCATGTACATTTTAATATTTTCTCTCTCTTTCAAGAGGCATTGCCTGAGTCTGTATAGAGAGAAACGGACACTTAATTCACACACATGTGTGAGGAATGGAGACATAATCAGTGTCTATAATTTCATTAGTTCCACAGTATTTACTTCTCACACTCTTTCACACAAACACGCACACACTTGTGCTTAGACTGTCCTTATGTACGGCACAAACAAAAACAAGCCCATTACCATATTCACCACTGTAATGAGAAAATAGGGCGAGAGCAATCCAGGGCTCTTTAACAGTTGTTCAACAAGTGAGAGAATCAACACTGCTTATGAAAAATGAGACACAGTTACTTAATCGAGTGCCTGAACAAAAACCTTCTTCTACTGTGCTTTGAGTACCGGCTGACTGTTTTACTTACTCTTATTACTTTGTCTTAAATCTTTTTGTCTTTTTGTGTGTTTTTGTGTTTGTGCTTAATAAAGGGAAAACATGAGTGTGGGGTTGAAGGGCAGCAGTTTACCAGTTTATCACACTGGTGAGATGATTGCCTGATGAGTAACAACCAACTCACTGCCTTCACTCACAGTATGCCTTCATATTTGTTTTGGGTATTTTAAATACCTGAGAGATGGAAACTGAAACATTACACAAGGTTTTTCCAAATATCTGGATTTTAGAGATTTTTTGGACTTTTTTTTTAAAGTTTTCAGCAACAAAGGGAAAAAATGGCTCAGGTCTTACATTATCTTGCTGTCGAGATTTTATCCTGAAATACGCCATGAAAATATACAACAATAGCTTTTGTTGGAGTAAAACTGGTGTCTTTAAGGGGCTCTCTGGCAACTTTGTTTGAAATAAGCAGAACTTGCTTTACGTTATAAAAAAGCCTATCAAGCTGCATAATGGGAAATTTAGGATTCGGCACTGGGGCATGATCCAGACTAGGGATGCATGGCTGTTCTGCAGAGAAATATTTCATGCATGGTTTTCAGTCGTCTATCTGATCTCCGATGGAACAGATATGCTTCTGTTTTAATCAGTTCAGCTTTCTGCTTAGAAGGCAGTTTGTGTTTCATTTGTATTGCACATTTGGTGGCCAGAAAGGTGTGTTTGTACTTTGAGTGTATTTTCTTCCATTTCACGCACATAAATAAAATCATTGTGAATGAGGTGAAGCCAGCACCTCCATACTGTGTAGAAACAGAGAATCCTAGAGCAGCTATTGTGCTGCTTATGTTATGCCTCCTGTGTTGACATAGTTTAAAGTTAGGATATGTCAGCCTCTGCTGACTGAATTTCACCCATTTAAGTGGAATATGAAATTGCTGCAGTACCCCTTTAGAGGGAATAATTGTTGAGCCATTAAAAAGACTGAACGTCTCTCAGTTCTGTGTGCTGACAGCCTGATGAGAGCACTTCTGCTAATTCAGCCAAAGGAAAGCTCCACAGATTAGAGGCAGATTAGAGTTTTTTCAGGACTGTTTGGTCAAAGAAGCCAATCAACACAAAGTAAATGACATTTACTGTTTAAGGTAAAAAAAAAAAAGTTATTTGTCAACTGAAAATAGTTGCACTAAAATATGATTACCAGCCTTGTTAAAAAGAACCCTGACTAGTTCAGCTTGTGGCTGCTGTTTCTAAAGCACGCTGTCAAAACACATAGTTTGCTTTTATTGATTTAAAAACTGAGTCGGTCCAAATTTCTAACAAACCAGAGGTTTAAAAATTGTCACAGTGTGCTGCTTTTGTTTGCAATTTCCAGTTAAAAAAAAAACCAGCTTTCCTGTTGGAGAGGAGGAAGGTGGTAGGAAAAAGACACTCTGCAAAAGACCTGCAATTAGGTTATAGGAACCCATCTCTTTTTGCACTTGAAGCAAAAAGTGTTCAGAAATATTACTGGTTATTAAAGGATGACTGAAGGCGCCAGTAAACCTTGCACATTGGTCTCTGACCAATATGACTAATTGAAGTATTTTCTGGAAGTAAAACTGAAAGTCAGACTAATCTGCAGTGTTTAATCTATACATGTTTTCATAGTCAGGGTTCCTTTCCTTTCTAAGCAAAAATACAATCTCTAAGGTGACCTAGCATGTTGTTCCCCATGTATCCCCGTCAACTATTATGCTGTTTAAAGTTTCACTTTATTAAGTCTGTGCACAAAATTCTTGTGAGCCAAAAGCTCAGGCTAATAATCCAGAGTCCAATCACAATGCAGAGGTTAAAATTGGTCCCCTTTTAGGTCCATTCAATGGTTTTTCTAATTGTAAACACTCCCCGTGATCTTTATCAGGAGATACAAGTCTGCATAATGCATTTATTTTTCTTGTATCATAACTGAATTTAGTTTTCCTATTACAGAGCGTTTTTTGTTGTGAAACTACGTTTTCAAAACAGATCAAAGGTCAACTTGTGGCTTCTCAGAGGCTTTAATCATGTCTCTTTTCAGGTGCCATACTGTACACATTTACACATGCTACACATGAGCAGCATTTCAGTCTTTTATGAAAACTGAAGGAGAAAAATTTAACGTTTTAGGCATTTAATCATTTGTCCAAGTTCAGTCATGAGCTCAAATATTAATTTTGATGAAAAATAAACAAAAGCTATTGTTGACTAAAAATAAACTTGCAGACAAATTTAACAACTGATAACCAAAACTTATCTCTGTAAATAAAAACTCAGTAACTGGGCTTTTTTTTCTTTTTCAGAAGTTTCACAGATGCATGTTTTATGTCGTCTCACGTGGGGCCACGTCCCCGTTTTAGCACCTTTAAACACTGCAAAAACATTTGGAAACTGAGACTCGCTGATGTCACGAAGCCATAAAGTCACATTGTGTTGTTGTTTCTGATGAATTTGTTGTTAAGATGATGATGTCATGGAAACAAAAGATGAATAGTGTTTGGTATTTTAGATGGAAGTGAATCCACAGACAAAACAATAAAGAAAATGCATGAAACCGAACCAGATTGTGAGCCTTTTGTGTTTGTGGTGCGAGGGCCCCCGGGAGACATGAAACACTGGAACGGCACAACGAAAGGTGCACACAACCACAAGTCAACACGCATACACATGCGGAGACATATGGAAGGATTCTGAACTCTGATCACACATCTCAGCAGGTTTAACGATTATTCGTGGAGCTCGGCTGTCAGAAGCCCACCTCCACCACCCCTCCCCCTGCTTCATCCTCCCCTCCCCCCACCCACTCTCTGCTCTGCTGTCACTAAAATAGCTTTAAGGTGTGTTTAGGTTGGACTTTAACCCCTCCGCCTGTTTCGTCTCCTTGGCAACCGTCCAGAGTTCCCTTAATTTGTATCATCTCAATCCCAAGTGCTGCAGCAGTTTTGCCTATTTGCCCCTAATCATGGAGCCTGTTTCCATGGCAAAGT